ACGAAATCTGAGTCGATCGCCATGTCGCGCATCGAGCGAATGTCGAACATTCGGTCGGCGACGTTCGAATATTCGACACATCGAGTGCATTACGGGCCGCATTGGATAAGCGACGGCAAATCCGTTTGGAAGAAGCGTAGTTTCACGTTAGTTCTCGGCTCCTCTGTGCAGATAGCTTGACGTGTACCAGTGAAACGCCATCCTAGTCAAGAACATGGCTTCGGATACGCGCAAGCGACGGAAACAGTTCTCGTTCGAAGAGAAGTCGCAGATTCTGGAGGAAGTCAACTCTGGCCGGAAGAAAACCGATATCGCTGAGAAGTACGGAATCAGCCGATCGACTTTGTCGACTTTCATCAAAGACGCTCAGAAGATTCAGGATCGGGCTAGAAGTTCGGCGTTCGATCCGAAAAGAAGAAGACTGAGGACCGCTAAACATGAGGATATCGACGCAGCGACGTGCATCTGGCTTCAAGACGTTCGATCGAAGAATATCCCGGTGTCAGGACCACTCTTACGTGAAAAAGCCTTACAGTACACGTGTTCTCTCGGACATGATTCTTTCGGAGCGAGCGAAGGTTGGTTGGCCCGTTTCCGTGAACGTTTTGGAGTACGAGCCAGACTTCTGTGTGGGGAATCTGCAGATGCTCCGAGTGACAAGGCCGATGATTGGAGACGAGGCGCGATAAAGCAGATCATCGCCGAGTATAACCCTGATGATTAAAGCCCGTATGTTCAAGCATGGAAACATATGCAAAATAAGCACTCAAAATAAGCGAAATAAGCGCGAATGATAAGCGAAATAAGCCTTAAAAACAAGCAAATGAAGCATTCAAAATTAGCAAAATAAGCGTTTAGAATGGGCAGAATAAGCATTCAAAATGAGCGGAATGAGCACTCAAAATGAACAGAACAAGATAAGATTTCGAAATAAGCGGTGATACGGTTTTATGATATCAATCGCCTAGAATTAGTCACGATCATTGCAAGAAATGGCCAGCATCATCTTTAAATTTCAAAAGTGAGGCATTGACGTCGGTCATTCAG